TATTGTAAGCGCCTACTTCCGGACAAACTGTAATTAGTCTTACAGTTGCATTACTTTTTTCGCAGTGTCACTTTTGCATTTTATACGAATTAATCAAATATTAATGAGTTTTTGTGTAATGGTTAAGTTATTAACTGGTTTTGCCTTTCTTCGCTTGCCCACGAAAGTGACCAGGACTGTTATCTGTCATCTATTTTGCCTGTCATGCGGTATCTTGATGGTAATTAATTGACTTCAGGATCCGTGGTTATAAATATAAATTTTTATCAAGCTTTTATGCATAATACGCCGCGATATTCCAACAGATGCGAGACAAGTGCACGAGAAAAGTATATGTTTTTTTGATTCTTGAAGACTAAATTGAAAATCAGAAAGTAGCCGATATTATTAATTTACCAATCAATTGTTTGTATCGCCTTTCAAGCGTGAATCGTATGTTTGCAAAGAATTCCTTTCGTCATTTAGTTTATCATATTCTTGCATAGTATAGTATACAATATATAGTATGATATGTAGTTATTACAATAACTTTGATGTTACAGTAACTTTAATTGATTGTCCATGTCATTTTGAGAAGCACAAATTCACCACTCATCATTTTAAACATAAACATAAAAATTCGATGATAATCGGTTATCTAAATATTATTTATTGGTAAATTAGTGAATTCTTATGAACATAACTAAAGAAGTCGAACCAAGAGATCATCATTTTAAATATTTCGTACATTTCTATACATCGCATAAATCCTACAATATGTAATATATAATATTTATGAAAATTTAAATTTCATTCGCAGTTTAGTTATTAGAAAATTACAGCAAATTCATGCAACAATTTATGTTAGCGAATTGACAAGTGGCACGTTGTAATTGACAAGCACGATTGTTCTTTAAAACTCGAGTTATACAATTGTATTATTCAATATTGTAATAATTTATATAATTTAAACTTTCGTGACATGTCAATACGATAACAGGTCTTTCCATTCGCATCACGAATCATTAGTCCATTAATCTAATACTAGTTGAAGAAAAAATTGAAAGAAAAGTCGTTGCAAATGTCGTTGAAACACTAAAGATAATTCATTCTCCAGGTATACATTATTCTCAAAAAATTTAACTGACAAGCGAGTAATTAAAGATACATCGGTCGTTCAGCATCATCGCTATGATACCTAACGTGCCATTACGCTGTAAAGAGAAAAAGAAAGATATCAAATAGTCATTTCTTAAACGATCGTGTGATCTCAAAGGAAAGTAGTCAATTCAACCTGATAATTACCTCAATTTCGTTTCGATCTTTTATTGCTCGGAATTTACAATTACGTTGCTCCATGCTCATCCCCAACATAACTGTTAACATAATGTATGTTCTACCCCACATGTATCTCACAAACTATGCGCTATTGCTAATTCATCTTTCGACATAGACGTGATCTTAGATGCGTATGCACCTGTATATAAGTATTGCTATTCAAATATAAATTAGGCATTGAAAATGGTGGACACATGCATTTATTAAAATTTGATAGTATCTCGCTCTTGCAAATGGTTGTAATCGGCAATTTCGAAATTACGTTCAATAAAGTTTGTATTATAATGTATTTAAGTTTTGTTGCTATGTATTATGGTTCAGCCTATAGTTTGTTCAATAAAAAGTTTTAAAACTTCTCTATAGCTTATCGTTTAATCCACCCTCATTCTCGATATTGTCAATAAAATGCTTAATTTTTCGCTATTGTGAGTATCTCGAAAATTGAATATAATGTGCGCATCGCTTATTTGAAAAGGAAACAGCAATCTCACCACGATGCAGCATGATTTTATTTGTCATGCTGGTAAATTGCTTCGTGAATTAATTAACTCACTTATAACCGTTTGATTGGTCTTCGGAGCAGAATTCACAACAGACGTTTTGTTGCGAATATTACCTTTAAATATATTAAGTTATTTTGCCTTTCTTCTTTAATGCGCGATTATGCTCGAATCTATTCAAAATTTGACGATAATTTTAAGATTTATGAAGCAAAATAAAAAGTTTAATATATAGTTTTGTAGATAAAATTTTTTATCTAATTTAAATAAATGTTACTTTAGAATTGGCCAGATGATAAAATTATTAAAAATAAAATACCTTGAAATGAGAGTTACTACAAATGCCTTTGATACATCTAATTGCTCAATTTTAGTAAAACAGTAAGTGTATCATCATAATTCTTAATACGAAGAAATTAGAAATAGATTTATTTAGTGCTTCATTAAATAAATAAATTAAACAAATACATCAAACATTGCTTTGAATCCAACGAAGTAATTCAAAGTAAAAAATTTATTTAATCAGTGGTTCAAAACATAAAATAATTTTAGCTAATTACATATATTTAATTAATTTCCACAAACATCCATTCTGTCTACGATTTAGAATTTCATAATTGTATAATTCCGTAATTCTATAATTTTATATTTATATTTCTATATATTTTATATATAAGTTTCTAATTTTATAATTCAGAATATCGTTACATTGTACTTTAGAAATTCATCAGTTTTCTATAGAATTTCACATTCACCTTACACGTAGGATAAAAGTACACTGCCATCATACATTTCCCTACATTAGCCCCACGTTGAATTTTCAAAAATTACGACGAAATTATTTTTCTCTAGTTGTAGAGGAAATACATATTCAAGTATAAAACGTCTGCAAGGATTAACCAATGTGCACGAATGATCCTTATTCGACTCGAAGGCAATCAAGATCCAAGCTGGTTCGACTTAACACGCTATCCAGTGTTGATGAAATTTCTCAAGAAACGGTGCTCGATGGAATTCGACTGAGGAAAGAATATTGTTTAAGATTCGCGGAATAATTTACAATGTGCATTTTTGAAACGAAAAAGGGCTTTTATTGCATATTACAACAGTTCTTGGACCAATCAGGAACGAATCTCTAATTCTGCGGATATTTTGAAATTCTACAATGTATTATTATTGTATAATGAATGATGCGAAAAATGGACACTAATGACGTATATAAAAAGTTTTTTTTTTTATTATAACAGAAAATACCTATACACTTAAAACGTTTAATTCTACATTAATACTTCTGAGTTCTATCTACTTATTTATTTACCGTAATAAAGATGTCGTGCCATTCATCAAATTTTTTTCGCTTTCGTTTCTTCGCTTTTTGTCCACGAATCGGGATTGTATCTTACCGGAATAGTACATATGCAGTTCTTCGATACTGGATCGTAGTCAGCATAAATCGAATATGGAAATGAACAGCATTTTTTCATTGCGGAACCATAGCATTTTCTAAATTGCTGGTTACGAGAATTATCTGCACGTGACTGAATTCACTCTACGGTCAGACGAGCAAAGGTAAACGTGATCGCAACGCGATCACCGCCACCAATGTTAATTTACGTCACGTGTTGTCGCACAATAATATCACACGACTATGCTGCGTGTAAATTATCGAATTAATTAATAAAATACTAGCTTCATTGCTCGTCTTTACAGGCCAAATCTACATTATTAAATCATTTCGATCGATTCGTAAATATTATGTGTAGTAATGGTTGTGCATCTCATGTTGACATGCATCGGTGATTTTCCAATGACTTTTCTGTCTCCAAACTCGCAAAGCATAATACGAAATGCATGATGTGCATGATATATATTCAACAAATTTAATTATTATCACACACTGAATTGTTTACTTGATTTGCAATATCACATGATTTGCAAATATTCATAATATACACCATATAATGCAAAATAATCTCCAACTGCTTCAATGAAAAAAATTTAATTATGTATAAGAAGAGCTATGCTTAACGGAATAATATAACTTTTATAAAAAATATTCTACATAAGCACATACAGTATATAATATGACGTATTCATAGTAAATTATTAAATAAATAAAATTAGTAAAAAATTTTTTAGATAGATATCGTTCTTATAAAATTGTTCGATTTATATCAAATTGTATGATTTTAATCGATTCTTAATATCCAAAACTAATTTTATATGTCTTTGATACAGAATCTGTTGACGAGACTGCAAATTATTGTACAATTGTGTAACGTTGATACACTTATATCTTCAATATAAAAGACTGCAAGTTGTAGCGATTTATTGTATGATTTAGCGAGATTATATGAGAGATGAGTGTTAATTTATTGCTTAAATACGTTTTTGATTGAAGTTAATAAGGTCGCGAATATTGTAATTATTGTCTAGGAGGTACAAAATGTTTCGTGCTTTACTTTTTTTACTTTTTCACGCTTTTGTTGACTCTTTAGTCAAATATTTCGATCTTAAACACGACAGTTGCAATATATTTTAGAATTTAGTTAAGGAATTTGGATCTACTGTAATGTATTTTCAAATATTTATAAAACGTAGTATAGAGTTGATTATTATACGAAAAGTACAACTCGAACTTTGACGACGAGTATTTATAATTTTATTTTCGCGAACGTTCACAATGTTGTTGCTTTTATAATTGTAAAATAATATATTTTGAAGTATAGAAGAATATTTTAAAATCGACAAATAATATGTTGATCAGATTTGTATTTCAATGTTTGATATTTATCGTTTTACTTGATGTAATTCTCCAACTCACCGTTATTTAACGTAGAGTGCGCTATAAACCATTGACCATGCTGTGTCGATATTTCAGAGTATAAGCATTGACAGAATAGAATAGATTGGACATCAAATGCTTTTCGTGTCCAATCATTGACTAAGAATTACAATACCTATTCACATACTTTGTCTGTGACATGGACCACGAAAAAGGCTGTTTGGTTTATTCTAATTAGATAATGGTCAGTGTTATAAAATTTATTTTTCTTTTAGGGTTGAATTTTCATTTTTGAAATCTGTTTTATCAGTAGAGCTTGTAAGAGTTCCCAATGGCCTCCGCTAGAAGCATATTTGGCGCATTTTCATGAGCGTATAATTAGACGTGCTTTAAAAATAATGAATAGTGTATTTTATTTGCTGATTGAAATCATTTACTTGATTTTCGTGCATCTACTTCGTGAGACATTTGGTATAAAATACTGCATGGCATAATTTAATATACGATTGCTTAAGTTGTAAGTTTATTATTATGTTTACATTAACCTCAATGATTGTTGTCATTTTATTTCTGAATAAGATTAACTGATTGTAGTGATCAGTGTGAAAGAATTTATTATTTGAATTTACTTACGGTAAGTGTATCTAATAATAAATTGCACTTCTTATTCATAATGATATTTTATGCAGAATATTCTAATAATTACCATAACCTATTTTCACTGTTCAGTTTTTCTGATTTTATCAAGTTTGTAGCAATATAGAAAGTTGAAACATTTTTATACTTTTTATGTTACCCAATATAGAAAGTTGAAACATTTTTATAATTTTTATGTTACCTAGGCTACTTGATTATGAATCCCGATATTCAGAAAAAGATTTTCAAGTTCGAAATGTTTGTCAATGATGTGTTGAAAGAGGATCTTGCACAGTTAGAACAAAAACTGGATGCTAAAAATGCGGATGTTGCAGAATTTCTTCAGTTGAAAGCTATGATAACTACCTTTAAAAATAATGGCCTTGATAAAAGTGGCTTTAAAACTCAAGTAGATATCGGACAAAATTTCTTTATAGAAGCACAAGTTTCAGATGCTTCTACAATTCTGTTGGATATTGGTTTAGGACATTATATGGAACTTTCTATAGACGATGCTATGGTTGTTATAAACGTTCGAGTTAAACTTCTGGAACAACAGATTAAACACTTTCGTAAGGAAATTGCCAAAACAAATGCTCACATCAAATTAATTCTCCTGGGCATTAGGGAGTTGCAAGGATTTGATGACAAAGTGTAATTTTGTAATTTTTTTTATATGTACATATTTCTCTGCTAAATTTTGTACGTATGTATTAGAGCTTTCAATAAATGTTAAATGACATTGAAACTCTTACTTCATTTTCTGATACTCTACATTTTCAAGATCAATGACGCTCGTCAATCGACCTTGTTCAATGTATTCGCGCGTTTAACGCAATGCAAATCATTCGCTATGCTACATCAATTTGCTACCTCGAACACCGCTCTTTTGTTTCCTCGTTAAGCGCAATTGCGTAAATTTATAAGGACCTTGTACCTCGCTTATATATGATAGAGGTCAATCGCAAGCAAATCAGTACGTTTTTCGCTTCGACGTGTTACTTTGGCATTTTTTGACGCGAAGCGTTCATTTTAATGTCGGACTGGCGGAGCATACCATGCATCGAAAAGCACAAAGAATTTCTCGAGAATCTTATCGCGATCTTGATCGACTGCACCTTCGAAAGTGTGTCCCGTGAAAATCCTGTATTGAGATGGAGAGAACCGGGCCATCTGCAGGACATTATAAATTTCAATTTGCAGGAGGGGCCTCGTGCTCAAGACAGTCTCCTGGAAATTGCTACTAAAGTTTTTAAGTATAGCGTTAAGACAGGACATCCTTATTTTATGAATCAGTTATTTTCTGGGTGAGATATTGATAAACACGAGTCTTGTTTAGAATAAAAATCATTAAAAAAATTATTTATAATTATTTATAAGTGCTCCGAAAAGCTTAGATTAAGCTGACAAGTATTGTATTTGGCAGGGCAAAAGTTTAAGTTGTAGTACAATGATTTGCAGCCAGATAGATTTGTCACTTTAGATTTCAAAAACAATATTTAAAATAATTCTAATTAATTATTGCAAATAAGGAAAAACAGTCCAACAAATGATCGTAACTTTTCGGAATAGTTTCTATTAATTGCATTTTATATTTTATTACGAAATTTATTATATTTTAAAGTGCAGGTTGAGAATTATAATCACCTGTGTTATTTTAGATCTGAGAAAATTTATGAGCCAGATCTAAATAAACAAAATCTAATACTTTTTGTAAAATGTTATGTTAAATTATATTTATAAAGTTTTCTTTTTTCCTAATGAAAAGCTGTAAATAATTTGCTAATTTTTATTACAATTTTTAATTACACCGCACATGTAAAGTGTTAATTATTTAGATTTTACTTTCATGTTGCACGTGCTTTTTTTAATATTCGTAGAAGCACGTAACGTAAAGTTGATGTATTGAATGTAAGACAGTTTTATGTACTTTCTAACATCAATTGTGATTCGATCTAAATATGATTAGAAATTTAAATTATTGAAACGACATTTACATTTAACAATTTTGAATGTGACTAATATAATATATGCGCGTTATATTGGATAAAAATTGATTTAGATTGGATCCGTACGGTTTAGCCGGACAATGGCTAACCGATGTGTTAAACTGTTCACTCTATACTTACGAAGTAGCACCGGTTTTGACATTAATGGAAAGCACTGTAATTACAAAATTATTAAACATGTTTTACAAAGAAGAAAATGGTGCTAGTATTGGAGACGGTCTCTTCTGTCCAGGAGGTTCCTTCGCTAATGGTACTGCCATAAACTTGGCACGATTTTGGTTTAGAAAGAGGGTTCAAAATGTGAGTAATTACTTTAATAAATAGTTTTTTGCCAATCAGAATCATTTGGTTAATGCAGCATTACTTAACACTACCGCATTGTCATAATTTATACTGC